AGTCGGTGACTCTGGGCTTGTTAGACTGCAGCCTGCTAAGTGAGCAGCTGCGTTATGTCCTAAACAATGTACAGCCCCTACTTAAAGAGGTTTTGCCCCTAAGAAACACCATCAAGGTGTCATTTTTGTGTGGGTGCAGGGTCCTGTAAAAAATGCATTATCTGCAAAGTACAATAAAGAAAATGCAATAAAATGAGGCTCCACCGTCCACTCGTGTACAGGGCCATCCCGTGGGCTTACATTCTGTTGTCACTGGCCTCTAGATCTAGCTGGGCTTGTGTATACAATCTGCATTTGTGTGTTTGCCCCTCACACACAAGCTACACAAACTCACAACCATACAAATTCAAGAATCAGCCTGCTCATGACCAATAATCATGCAACTTGCCACAGCCTCACAGTGCGCTCTGACAGCCAACGCAGGCACTGCCCGCTGCCTGACCCACTGACCATCAGTCCACACAGAGCTGGGCACAGCCACACCGGCCACAGGCCCCTTGAGGCAATTCCTCCCCACACACCGGCTCCCACCCACAGTCAAGAAAGCCCCCACAGCAAATGCCACACAGGCTTGACCCGGTGAGCACAACCACACAGCTGACGGGGGGAATCACCCCACGAGTCCAGTCCATCTGGTCCACTCACTGGGCACCTCCCTGCCACAGGGACCCCCCCACCCATGTCACAGGCAAAAAGACAGCCAGAGCCACAAACCTCTCCATGACACACCTAACCTACGGCTCTGCTCCCTACCCTACACACAGCCAGCTACACGTGAGCAGTATCACCTGCGGGCTCAGGGGCCGCCCACATTTTCTCCTCACCGAAAGTTGCCGATCGGGCCCACCTGTGCCCTGGCGGCCATACACACCACTATGCACACCTGTTTCCTGCGCCACCTCCAAACACACCTGAGCTCCCAGACCATCTCGCGTATCCACCGGAGTGTCCTACTCCGGCTCCCATTCACCATCCACACACGCGCACTCCCCCCCGTGGCCAGCCCCCCAAACTACACAGCCGACTCCTCGCCGACGGGCTCTGCCCAGCTCACCCCAGCTTCCCGGCCCCGCCGTCCGTCACAAGCGCCCCCTCCCTCCCCCTAGGCCCCGCCCCCGTCCTCGCTCCTGTTTACCTGCGCTCCGGGGAGGGGGCGCGGCCCCAGCCGGGCCTGCAGACCCCAGGGAGCCCCAGGGCGGAGCAGGGGGAGCCCAGGGCTCCCAAATTCCGTCCCCGTCGCCAGACTGCCGGACCCAGAGGTGCGCCAGGCCCAGCCTCGCCCTCCGTGCCCCCGTCGCGGCTCCCGGAACTCCCGTCCCGCGCTCCCGGCACCCACCTGGCCGCCGACGCCTCCCGGGACCACTCGGCCGCGCCGCGCGGAGCCGCTCTCGCAACCGCTCGCTCCGTCCCGCGCTCCCGGCACCCAAGACCCCTGCCCGCTCCTTGGGAACCCCAGTGCGCTCCTGCCCTTGGGGACCCCAGCCCCTGTCGGGCCGGGAGGGGCTTGGGGGGAAACACCTGCACCCAGCTGGGAAACCTGCCCTGCGGGACCCCTCCTCCTCACGCTCCCGCCAGCGGTGGGGGCCTGGAGGAATGGCCTGGCCAAAGGGGCGGGGGTGCTCCGCCAGCCGCAGCTCTGCCGGTCTGCCCGCCCCCATGGGGGGGCTCCGGGACTCCCCCCCTCGGGCGGGACACAGCACAGGGGCCAGGGTGACCTGCCAGGCACAGACAGATGTGGAGTTACATAAGGGAGATGGGGCGACTGAGCAGACCCAGCCGGCGCGGCAGCCGGCTCGCAGGCGACCCCGGGGCACACGGGCGCGGCCATGCCCCGGAGCCAGGGGTGGAGTCCCTCTGGGGGTCACTGCTGCAGGGACAGATGAGGTCACGGAGCTGGGGCGCAGCCAGGCTGTGGCGCTGCACTAGCGCCTGGGGGGTGTGGGGGAGGAGAGGTGGCCAGGGAGCACCCCCGCAGACACGCTCCCTCGCACAGGGTCAAGGACGCGTGGGGCTCGCAGCGGACAGACAGACACCCGCAGCCCGGGCAGGCGGCCACGGGGCAGGCTGGGACCCGCACGCGCTTAGACACACGGCAGACAGCAGACAGGCGGGAAGGCGCCCGGGGAGGGGAGCGGCGCGCCAGCGCTCCAGAAGCCTCACGCGGACGCCCGTGGGTGGGGGCTGCAGGGGGACCCTGGCGCCGCGCTCACGGGCGCCCCGGCCAGCAGTGTCCCCGTCGTGCGCGAACTCGCCCTCCTCCTGACCCCGGACGCTCCAGAAACTTCGCAGCGGGCGGCGGGGATCCTGGGTTCCCTCCCCCCATCAGGGCTGGGGGAAGGGGGAGCCCGTCCCTCCCCCAGCCACTCGCCGCACTCCCGGGGTGCCTGGCCGCGCCCCTCCAGCAGCAGACCTGCCCTTGGGTGCTCCCTGCTGTGCTCACCACGCCCCAGCGTGCCTGGCGTGGGGCTGCCCAGGGCCAGCACCTGGCCCAGGGCGAGGCCAGCCTGGGTCCTGAGGGCTGCGGGCACCTGGCCTCCCGGCTGCCCTTGGTCCCCGGTGCCAGGGCAGGGCAGGGGGCCCAGGCTCAGCCAGGGGCCCCTCTCCTCCTCGCCCGAGGGGCGGCCGGGCGGGGCTGCGTGGGCTGGGGTGCAGCGTGGGTGGGGACAGGGGGGCTCCGGGGTCCCACCCAGCCTGGGGTCCCCGTGGTGGGGGGCAGGCAGTTGGCTGTGCAGGGGAGGGCTGGGTGGGGTTCGGTGTGGAGGACGCACCTCTGGAGGCTCCGCCAAGTGTGGCCTCCGCGGGGTGCCGGGTTCTGGAGCCTTCTCTGGTGGCCTCTGGCCCCATGGCTCTGGGCCGGGCTCACCTCGGGCCAGGCGCTGGGGGCTCCTGTGTGATTTCAGGGGTCACCCAGTCCCTGAGCTTGGAGCTCTTCCCCTGCACGGGCGGGAGGGCTGCGAGCGAGCCGGCAGCGGCCGCGGCCAATGGGCGGGCGCGGGCCTTGTCCTCGGCACCCAGCGGCCACTGCGCAGGACAGTCGGCCGGCGGGCCATCCTGGCTGACCACGGCCAGGCAGGAGCCTGCTCCACCTCGGGCTCCCCCACGCGGGCGGCAGCGGAGCGAGTGGGAGGCCCCAAGGCTGCCCACAGCATCTCGCCCTGGGGTGACCGCTGGGCGTGCAGGCCCGGGCGGCCCCCCAAGGCCCCTGGCTCGGCCCGCCCCGTCCCAGAGAGGGGTCTGGGCCGGACATGCGGGCTGCCGGTCGGTGAGGCCGCCACGGGTGGGTGTCCGAGCCTCCACACCAGCCCTGGTGGCCACGTGGGGGCAGCTCGCCGCTGGGGACCGGCCATTCGCCTGCCCGTCAGCAGGAGAGTGGGGCGGCCAGCGGCCTGCCTCCGGGCCGTGGCCGTGGTCGCCGGGGTCATGCCGGCGGCGGGTGGGGACGTGGAGCTGGGCGCCCGGGCCTGCACTGGGGGGCGGGGTGGCGGCCAGGGCCCGGACAGAGGACCTAGCTGGACCTGCTGGGGCACTTGCCACCGTGGTGCCACCTGGGGGCTGTGTCTCGGGCAGACCCCAGCAGCGGGCCCGCCGGGGACAGGCGAGGGGCCTGTCCTGGCCACCCAGAGCTGGCCCGGGAGCGCTGGGTCCCTGCCGCCCCGTGGGCTCTGGCGCCGCCGGAGGACTCAGACAAGATGGCGGCCGGCTCACGGGCTGGCCACCGGCGGCCAGGGGCGGCTGTGCGGCCTCGGGGGCGCCGCCAGGGCCTCGGGAACCTGCCTGGGCCTGGGGGTCTCCCTTCCTAGGATGCCCCCTGCCCCCCCAGGGGCTGGCGAGTCTGGCGGCGGAGCGGGCGGGGACGGCCCCCAACGGGCGCATGGAGCCGAACGCCAGCTGGGCTCCGGGCAGGGGCTCATGCCAGGCCCTGGGGGGCGGGGGCCGGGGCAGGCCCACGGGTAGGGCGGGGTCCGGCTGTCACCCCAGGATCTGCGGGTGCTCCGCTCCCCCTCTCTCCCTCTGCGGGAACTCATTTGAATATGAAAATGCAGATCTTTCTTTTTTTGTTCCTCGCCTTCCTTCCTGGTGACATTCTGAGCCAGCCTGGGTTAGCCTGGGCGAGGGCTGGACAGAGTGCCCGGCGGGGCGGAGCGCTGCTGCGGTGCGCCGGCCAGCGCCAGAGGCCGGTCAGAGGGAGGCCCGCGGCCGCCGCCCGGGCCCCGCCGCCGCCCCGGGCCCGCCCTGGCTTCTCTCCTGCTGCCGGGCCCGTGTCCGCCTCGGTCCCAGCACGGACGGCCGCAGCCTCTGCGCACAGCTCCGGTTGCTGGCCCGTCCTTCATTTCTCCCCGGAAGGGCTCACGGCCGCAGCAGCGTCCAGCCTGGCCCCTGGCCTGTCTGGGACAGTCTCTGCTGGCTGGTGGAGCCCGGGCCGGAGGCGGAGAGGCGGGCCAGGAGGACCCGACCTGCTGCCTTGGGGGGGCACGGCAGGAAGCCCGGCTGCCCCCCACCGTGTCCCGGGGTGGCCCTGCCCCGCCCCGAGGGCACCATCACTGGCCTGGTGCGGTGCCCGCCACAGGGGTGCGGGCAGAGGGTGGCGTGAGGTCGGAGGAGCCCGCGGGGCAGGGCGGGCAGGCGCCTCGGCCAGCTGGGGCGGGGGCTCGAGTGCCGAGGGAACAGACGGGCAGAGGCTCACGGGGTCACGGGGTCCCCAGACCGTGGGGCGCCCCATGAGCAAAGGCGCCTCCAGAGAGCTGCGGGAGGGCGGCCGGGGCTGCGGACGGCTGTCTGGGCAGGCGGGTCCCGGGGGTCCGGGCACCCTCTGAGCAGCGGGGCTGCGACACCCCTGCGGGCCCCTGCGGGGCTGCCAGGGGTCAGCTGGAGGCGGGTGCGACCCCCCTGAGGGCTGGCTGGGGGTGGGGGGTCCCCAGCAGGAAGCTTTTGTGCCAGGGTCTTGGGGCTGCCGGGCTGCGTCCCCGCTGTCTGGGCAGTGGGCGGGTCTGCACCCACACACCAGGACCAGCCCCCCACGCAGCACCTGCTGGGTCCACGTGAGCCCCTGGGGTTGCCCCGGGGTGGGGTGCCGGGGGCCAGGCGTTGGCAGTGGGAGAGGCGCGAGGCGGGGGATGGGGGGCACGGCGGGCGCCTAGGGGCTGTGGGCACACACCCGCCACCCCCTCTCCCGCAGGCCGCTCCAGCCCTGGCTCAGGCAGCCCCGCCCCGCCCTGCAGCAGCACCGGCTCCAACACCCCCCAGGCATGCAGGTCCTGGGGGGCCCCTCGGGGAGGGGAGCCCCCACGGGCGGGCAGGCGGGCAGGCGCAGGGCACAGTGGGGCGGGGCGTGCCGGCCGGCGCACAGGGACCTGAGGAGGTGCTTGCTGGCCCTGCCCAGTGGGACCGGGGTGTCTCCCCACGGCACCCCACTGAGGTCGCGGGGCGCGGCGGGGCGCAGCCTGGGGAGCCCGGTCTTGCCCTGGAGGCCGAGGGACGTGCTCAGACCTCTCCGAGCCCCGCGGAGGGGGTCCCCAGGGCCCACCGCCCAGCTCGGCCGGGTGTTGGCCATGCCTCAGAGTGTCCCCGCCTGGCTGGGGCCGGGGCCACCCCCCGAGCCCCCACCGCCCTGCCCGTGGGCTGAAGGAGCCCGGCACGGAGCACCGGAGGCCCCTGCGTCAGGTAGCGGGGGGCCTGGACCCCAGATCCAGCCACGCCTGCCTCCCGCCCATCGGGGCGCTCACCGAGCCCCAAGTGCGGCGGGCCAGGCTCCCTCCCGGGTGGTGTGGGCTCAGGTGGCCTGGGGGGCCTTCGGGGTACCAGGCCAGGGCTCCTGGGGGTGCCGGTGTGGGGTGGGGCACAGCCCGAGGCCTGGGTCTGCGCTGGCCCTTCCTCCCCTCCAGGGCGGCTTGTGGCAGCTCCGGGGCGTCCACTTGCCAGGCTCCACCAAGGAGTGGTGCAGCGTGGCCTCCCTGCCCACGGGGCGGGGCTGGGGGTGGCGGGGACCCCCCGGTGCCCGCCCGTGCCCTGAGCCCTCCCCTCGCCAGGCGGCTCGGCCCGCAGTCAGCTCCAGAAGTTAAATTTATCCAGCCTGAGCTGCCTCCCTCCTGCTCCTGCCCAGCCCACGCCAGGCAGCACACGCCTCCCGCCCCCGTGGCGCCCTGGCAGGGGTGAGGAGGGGCCTGCGCGCCCTGGCCCCAGGGCCCCGGCCCCAGGCCCGACCTTCAGAAGCCTGGTCTGCTCCTTGAAGTCCTCGTCCTCGTCCGACTCCGCGTCAGGCAG